TTCAGTTGCCTGAAGAGAAACATAAAGAATCCTTTCTCAATATTGTTTCCATTAATAAATGGAAATCTGTTATTTGTACACATGAAGCCATCATATATATTCACATTTTAATACTTTTTATGTATTTCAGGGTGTTGATGATGCCTTCTATACATTAGTTCGAGAAATTCGAAAACATAAAGAAAAGATGAGCAAAGATGGTAAAAAGAAGAAAAAGAAGTCAAAGACAAAGTGTGTAATTATGTAAATACAATTTGTACTTTTTTCTTAAGGCATACTAGTAAAAGTGGTAATTTTTGTACATTACACTAAATTATTAGCATTTGTTTTAGCATTACCTAATTTTTTTTTTTCCTGCTCCATGCAGACTGTTAGCTTTTACCTTAAATGCTTATTTTAAAATGACAGTGGAAACTTTTTTTTTTCTCTAAGTGCCAGTATTCCCAGAGTTTTGGTTTTTGAACTAGCAATGCCTGTGAAAAAGAAACTGAATACCTAAGATTTCTGTCTTGGGGTTTTTGGTGCATGCAGTTGATTACTTCCTCTTTTTCTTACCAATTGTGAACGTTGGTGTGAAACAAATTAATGAAGCTTTTGAATCATCCCTATTCTGTGTCTTACCTAGTCACATAAATGGATTAATTACTAATTATAATTTCATTTGAGGCTTTATAACTGGTTTTACTCAAAACATTGAGGGAACACAAATTTATGGGCTTCCTGGTGATTCTTCTAGGCATCATGTCCTATAGTTTGTCATCCCTGATGAATGTAAAGTTACACTGTTCACAAAGGTTTTTTCTCCCTTTCCACTGCTGTTAGTCATGGTCACCTTCCCAAAAATACTATATTTTTTCTATAAAAAGAAAAAAAATGGAAAAAAATTACAAGGCAATGGAAACTATTATAAGGCCATTTCCTTTTCACATTAGATAAATTAAAGACTCCTAATAGCTTTTCCTGTTAAGGCAAACCCAGTATGAAATGGGGAGTATAGCAACCATTTTGGGGCTATATTTACACGCTACTAAATTTTTATAATAATTGAAAAGAATTTAACATGTATTAAAAATTATAGGAATTAAATGTAGTCTCCCTGTGTCAGATTGCTCTTTCATAGTATAATCTTTTCTTCAACTTCAGTCTTTGAAGATAGTTTTAAGTCTGCTTGTGATACTAAAGATTATTTGGGCCAGTTATAGCTTAGTAGGTATTGAAGAGACGAAGGTTGCAAGGCCAGGCCTTGTGTGAACCTTTGAGCTTTCATAGAGAGTGTCACAGCGTGGACTGTGTCCCCGCGGTCATGCAGTGTTGTCATGCATTGGTTGGTCAAAATGGGGAGGGATTAGGACAGTTTGGAAGGTGATCCTGCTGACACATCAAGAGCATCACTTTTGTTTTTAAGAAAACAAACTTTTTTTAAAAGTTACTTTTAAATATTAACTCAAAAGTTGAGATTTTGGGGTGATGGTGTGCCAAGACATTAATTTGTCTTAAACAGTGAAGTGAAGAAGTTTTAAAATCTGTTTGGCTACTTCTCTTAACACTGGTTAAATTAACATTTCATAAACACTTTTCAAGTCTGATCCATGTTTAAGAATAATGCTTTAAAAATAAATATGAATAAAAACAATCCTTTTAATACATTTACAATGTCACTTATTTTAAAATATATGAAGTGAGATGGTGTGAGGTGAAAATATCACTGGACTAGGAGGAAGGTGACTTAGGTTCTAGATAGGTGTCTTTTAGGACTCTGATTTTGAGGAAATCATTTACTGTCCATTTCTTCATGTTAAAAGAAGTCATCTCAAACTCTTAGCTTTTTTACAACTGTGTGATTTATATTCCGTTTACATAAGATACACTTATTTTTCAAGCTGAGCACAATCTGTAACTTTTTAACCTATGTTACCATCTTCAATGCCAATCTTGGGCAAAATTGTGCAAGAGGTGAAGTTTATATTTGAATATCCATTCTTGTTTTAGGACTCTCCTTCTCTATTAATGTCCTTTTGCCTGCCTACCTTCCACATGTCCCATGACTTGATGAAATTTTAATACTTGTAATTCCCCTAACCATAAGATTTACTGCTCTTGTGGATATCTCCATGAAAGTTTCCCATTAAGTCACATCAAAATTTTGAGCCTTACATCTTATTTTCTCAGGGCTCAAAAGCATCTGACAGATATCATAATGGGATTTGACCTAATAGCTAATTTTCAGGTGGTTGCTGATCCTTTGAACATCTCTTTGCTGCCCAGTCCATTAGCAACAGTAGGAATTTTCAAACCTGGTATGAGTAGATGGTCTCTATCCAATAGAAGGATAACTTAATAAAGTTAGTGTTGAAATAATTCTTTAGGTAATCTATAACTAGGACTACCCTGGCAACAGTAATACATTCCATTGTTTTAATAACCAGAAATCTTCTTACAATGAAAAATACTTTAATTCATAAAGCATAGTTTCTTTTGTTTGTTTTTTGAGACAGAGTCTCACTCTGTCACCCAGGCTGGAATGCAGTGGCGCCATCTTGGCTCACTGCAACCTTCGTTTCCCAGGTTCAAGTGATTCTCGTGCCTCAGCCTCCCGAGTAGCTGGGATTACAGGCGTATGCCATCATGCTTGGCTAATTTTTGCATTTATAGTAGAGATGGGGTTTCACCCTGTTGGCCAGGCTGGTTTTGAAGTCCAGACCTCAAGTGATTTGCCCGCCTCAGCCTCATAAAGCTGTTTTGCAGAACTCATTTATTCAGTAAATATTTATTGAGTGCCTACCAGTTGTCAGTCACTGCACAAGGCACTGGGTATATGGTATCCCCAAACAACAGACATAATCCCGGTCCTTAGGTAGTGCTAGCATGGTCTGTAATATCTTAGTAAGGCCTTTGGCATATGACCCAGAGATAACACAATGTGTATTTTAGTTTTGTAAAGAAGGGGTTTGGTCTCTAAGGTTCTGCCAGTTCTGTAATTGTTTTACTATGATTCCAGTGCAACTCTTTGATCGAGCTACTTTATGTAAATCACTTCGTTGTTTTAAAGAAATAAACTTGATTATATTGTTTTTTATTTGGCATAACTATGTGATTCTATTGGGACAATTACTGTACACATTAAGGTGTATGTCAGATACTCATATTAAAATTCCCAAATGTGTAATATTCCAGTTTTCTCTGCATAATTAAAATAGACTTAAAAATCAATAGTTTTATCTGGGTACAAATAAACAGGTGCTGAACTAGTTCACAGACAAGGAAACGTCTATGTAAAAGTATGATTTCTGAAATGCTATGCTAAACTACAGATCTATGGGACATTGTTTAGGTAGGGTGTTAAGACTTACACAGTACCTCTTGTTTCTACACAGAAAGAATGGCCATACTTCAGGAACTGCAGTGCTTATGAGGGGATATTTAGGCCTCTTGAATTTTTGATGTAGATGGGCATTTTTTTAAAGGTAGTGGTAATTACCTTTTATTATGTGAACTTTGAATGGTTTAACAAAAGGTTTTTGTAGAAATTTTAAAAGGGTGGGGGGAGAATTCTAGAAATAAATGTTATCTAATTATTACAGCCTTAAAGATAAAAATCCTTGTTGAAGTTTTTAAAAAATGCTAAATTACATAGTCTTAGGCATTAACATTTTGTGGAAGAATATAGCAGACATACTGTGTCATTTGAGTGAATATTCCCAATTAGGCATTCTAGGCTCTATTTTAACTGAGTCACACTGCATAGGAACTTAGAACCTAACTTTTATAGGTTATCAAAACTGTTGTCACCATTGCACAATTTTGTCCTAATATATATATATAAACTGTGGGGCATGTTAAGTTACAGTTTGCACAAGTTCATCTCATTTGTATTCCAGTGATTTTTTTTTTTTCTTCTGACCATGTTTTCTTCAAACAGTATATACACAGTTTAGGGGATTTTTTTAAATAGTAAAAACTATCTGAAGATTTCCATTTGTCAAAAAGTAATGATTTTTTGATAATTATGTAGTAATGTTTTTTAGAACCCAGCAGTTACTTTAAAGCTGAATTTATATTTAATAAATTCTGTGTTAATACTGAAAAGCATGAATTCTGCATTGAGAAATTGAATAGCATACAACTGATAGCTGTCAGAAAATAAAAATTTCTTTCTAAAGAGACTCAGATGAGTTATTAAGGAATAGTCATAACTAGATTAAGATTTGTGTTTTAGTTTAATAGTTTGAAGTGCCTGTTTGGGATAATGATAGGTAATTTAGATGAATTTAGGGAAAAAAAAAGTTATCTGCAGAAATGTTGAGGGCCCATCTCCCCCCCCCCCCCCCATAGAGCTACCTGGGTTACAATGTTTTATCCCAAAGTTTCCAATTCCACTGTCTTGTGTTTTCATGTTGAAAATACTTTTGCATTTTTCCTTTTGAGTGCCAATTTCTTACTAGTACTATTTCTTAATGTAACATGTTTACCTGGAATGTATTTTAACTATTTTTGTATAGTGTAAACTGAAACATGCACATTTTGTACATTGTGCTTTCTTTTGTGGGACATATGCAGTGTGATCCAGTTGTTTTCCATCATTTGGCTGCGCTGACCTAGGAATGTTGGTCATATCAAACATTGAAAATGACCACTCTTTTAATTGGAATTAACTTTTAAATGTTTATAGGAGTATGTGCTGTGAAGTGATCTAAAATTTGTAATATTTTTGTCATGAACTGTACTACTCCTAATTATTGTAATGTAATAAAAATAGTTACAGTGACTATGAGTGTTTATTTCTTCATGGAATTTGAACTGTTTGCCCTGAAATGGATATGGAATACTTTATAAGCCACAGACACTATAGTATACCGGTGAATCTTTTATGCAGCTTGTAAGTTAGAAATATCCTTTATTTATAAAAGGTGCTGTGGATACTTTGTCAAGGTGTGTTTGCTTAAATTTAAAACCATATTTAGAAGTAGATGCAAAACAAGTTGGCCTTTATGACAAAATAATAGAATAACATTATTTATTTCCTTTATCAAAGAAGGTAATTGATACACAACAGGTAATTTGGTTTTAGGCCCAAAGGTAGCAGCAGTAACATTAATAATGAAAATAATTGAATAGTTATGTATGTAATGCCTGTCACTAGCAGACTATTTCAATGCAGAAGTAATGACTCCATACATATTATTACTTCTATAACTACGTTTAAATCATTACCAGGAACTGTTTGTTTTGTAGTGAGCCCTGAATATGTGCAGTTAATATACCAAATTGAGTGAAAAAATAAGGGATTCCTTTCAAAAATTAAGAGAAATAAGTGTGTAAGAAATTATTTTGCTTATTCAATGTTCAGTAAATGGCATTCTGATCAGCAAAATGGAGAAATAAGCTAAAAATAATTGGCTAAGTCCTATTAAGTTACAGAATTAAGTGTATATTTTCATTCAAAATTGGGTGCTCATTATAAGTGGTAGTATAGCTAAATTGCTATCTTCGTATCAAAATTGAGCATAAAAGTTGGTGATAAATCTCTCAGTTTGAACAGAAGCTGAAACCTACTTAGTTCAGTAGGGCAGCTCATGGATTTTTTACACAACGTGTATCTTCCCATTTTACGTTAGAATTATTTTACAATAGCTGGTATATATAAACAGCTGGCACTGATTGTCAGCTAAATTAAAGTTGTAATGATCAAGTAGTTTTGTTGGTATCTGAATAATAGCGTTGCTTCATAGCTCTGTATTTCCTAAGGAAGTATAAGGCTTCTAGCTCTTTCATTACAAATTCACCCTGTGCAATAAGTTCTTTGATCTTCTCTGGATTCTTCACATCTTTGTTTTTAAGGAAAACATTCTTCAAACGCCTTTTAAAATAGTCTGCTCCTTTTGGATAGTCTCGTCCAAGATACAGCAGCTTCAAAAAGAAAGATTGTGTATTTCTAAACAATCCATGTCATATAATAACAGTTTTATAAAATTGGCAACATAATTACTTACATTTTTATAAAGATTTAATACTTCTCCTCTTAAAGAATTGGCCATTTTCATTTATCCTGTACATTATCCACTTTTATGCATAACATACCTAAAGAAAAGGAAAATTTGCAGTTAGCTGCACTGTAGTCTTAGAAAAAAGGTTATATACATTAAGAAAACAGTAACTTTTTTTACATTCAATAAATATTTCTTGCGAACTTTTTGTTCCATTTACTGGGATATAGTTATAGACACATCAGATAAAATAATATGCTGTCACAGAATTAACTTTTCCTACAGGAGGCAAAATAAGCAAAGAAGACAGCTAACAATTGCGAGAAGTCATATGAAGTAAATGAGAGAGAAAGTGGATTGTCACAGGTAGGTGTACCTCCTTTTTCGCCACAGTGGAGTGAGTTAGAACTAGATTTAAATCCCAGCTGCATAATGTACAGATTAACTTTGCTGAGCCTGAGTTTTGCTTATGAAAAAAGAGATTATCTTACCCTGCTCTCTAGGCAAGTCTAGACCATTGGACAGGCATTGAGCAGAGGCCTGATCAAATCTCGATGGGTGCTTATCCAAAGAGAGGCTTAAAAACTAGCAGAAACTGAGTGAGTTAAGCAGGTTGGAATAGTAGATGGGCAGTAAGATTGGTGGTGAAGAGACCAGAAACAACCTGTAAGAGGGTGTCTCTGAGGAACAGGTGACATCCAGTGAGAGAAATCATAACCTCTTTCTGTGTAATGTATTAATGCTATTGAGGAAAGGAGGCTCCTTAAAGGCACAATGACAGCCTAAACCTAGAAAATAATTCCCACTACCCGCCAGAGTTATGGGGATTAAATAGTGAATGTTTAACACTGCATCCTATCAGGTGGATGCAATTGAAATTTGTTCCATTGTGATTGCTGTTAATTTTGATTACCCGATTAAAGTCGTGTTTCCTAAGATTGTCCATTATAAAATTATTTCTCCAAGGAACCTAGTCCTTTTAATGCAGAATAGCATTTGGAAACTATAATCTGGATGGAATGTTTTAGAAACCAAATTCTGGGTGCTAGAAATGCTAATTACCATGGGACTGCCTGTTCCCAGGTCCTCTAAGTGACAAAGCTGCAAGTGTATAAAACATGCAGATTTTAGTGGTGTGTTGTATTTTTATGTTAATCTCCATATACTCTGATACCTAACATTCAATTCCAATACTACAGGGTTTATTTTCATTTCCCCTCTTTACATGGGTTTAATACTCTTGTCCAACAATAAGTCTGGTTCCCACTTGTCCTTTATAAATTTACTTTTAAAAAATGAAAAAAAATATTTTTTTTTTATTTTTTATTATTTATTTTTCATTGCATTTTAGGTTTTGGGGTACATGTGAAGAACATGCAAGATTGTTGCATAGGTACACACATGGCAGTGTGATTTGCTGCCTTCCTTCCCCTCACCTATATCTGTCATTTCTCCCCATGCTATCTCTCCCCACCTCCCCACCCCCCGTCCCTCCCCCATTTCCCCCCAATGGACCCCAGTGTGTAGTGCTCCCCTTCCCGTGTCCATGTGTTCTCATTCATCACTCCTCTCACTATGTAGTGAAATTTCTGTTGCTGTCACCATTCAGCACACACACTACTCTCTGAGCTCTGCCACCTCATGTCAGAGTGCCACTGCCACCATCCTGCATTCGTTGTCTTCTCATTACTCCTTTCCCCTAGCCTACCCTCTTGGGCTCAAGCAACTTACGCTGCACCACTTCCTCCCTTCTGGATAAGGCTCACCTTTTGTTCCCACTCCAAAAACCTGTGCCACCATTTCCTTCACCCTAACAGGACACCCTCATCCCCTGCTGGGCCGCTGCTGTGCACAGTCCCTTACTTCCAGAGGCCCTACTCACTGCATTTGGGCTCCACTACCCCCTGCTGGGCTACTACCTTGCCAGCCTTTCTCTCAACACGCCCCTTCCCCAGATGCCTACCTTGCTCAGCCCCACGTAATGGCTTTTGGACTGAATTATTGTGAAGGGCAAGCAGGAAGCAATTTTTTTTTTTTTTTGAGACAGAGTCTCTTGTCACCCATGCTGGAGTGTGGTGACACGATCTTGGCTAACTGCAACCTCCACCTCCTGGGTTCAAGTGATTCTCCTGCCTCAGCCTCCCGAGTAGTTGGGACTACAGGCACTGGCCACTATGCCTGGCTTCTTATTTTTATTTTTATTTTTTTAAATTTTAGTAGAGATGGGGCTTTACCATGTTGGCCAGCATAGTCTTGATCTACTGACCTTGTGATCTGGCCACCACCTTAGCCTCCCAAAATGCTAGAATTACAGGTGTAAGGCACTGCACCCAGGCACAACATATATATACTTTTATTTTTTTGTGAGAGGGAGCTCTGCTGTTGTTGCCCAGGCTGGAGTACAATGGAGCCTCTATTTAATATATATACAAGCAGAGGTGCCAGTCTACTGATTTCTGGCCGTGGTAACAAAAATTACATGTATACTATATATAGTATATATACTATATAGTTCATTTATATCTATAAATATGCATATATAGATGTGTATATATGAACCAAATTGATCAAATTGTACTTTTTAAGTGTAATTCATTATCAATTCTACTTCAGCAAAACTTAAAAAAAAAATAGAGATGACAGCAAAAGTCTAAAAACAGAGCTAAGAGATGCTGAGATAACACATGGAAGTAGAAATTGATCTAAACCACAAGGCTGCCAATTCGTGGGTAGCATAGGTGACTTTACTTGCCCCCAGTCAATGGCTGCACAGAACTTGGGGTATGCCTCTCTGGGGAGGGAACCCTGGGAATACACACTTGAATAAATTAAAAAACATGAAAGGGAGTTGCTGCCAGCATAGCAATGAAGCCAAGACCTTTTCTTGCGAAGGTCACAAATTTACTGCTTTTCTGGCTTCTCTTAGGGGAGAAAAAAAAAATCACACCAGAATCAACATTACTTCTACATTCATACTTGTAAAATTGTACTTATTACTATTTATGAGCTAATTCACATAATAAGCATACTATGTAGGCCTATTTTCTTTCCAAGTTCACTGATAATTCCTTTCTTGAAATGTTCTGTTCCATTTCTTCAAATTGCTTTTCTGCTTGCTTTTGTCTCTATCACTTCTGAGCTTTATTCCAGTCTGATCATTCTTTTCTGTCTACTCTTATGAGTCAAAAGACAAAAATGCTTTTTAGATCTGTATATATGGGAAGCTTACAGATTTTGAGCTTCACTTAGGGTGCTCTGAGTGGGTCTTTACTGGGAAGCCTCTGATGGCAGTATCTTGTTTTGTTTTGGAGACGGAGTCTCACTCTATTGCCCAGGCTGGAGTGCAGTGGGGTGATCTCAGCTCACTGCAACCTCTGCCACCTGGGTCCAAGCAATTCTCCTGCCTCAGCCTCCTGAGTGGCTAGAATTACAGGCACGTGCCACCATGCCCAGCTAATTTTTGTATTTTTAGTAGAGACGGGGTTTTACAATGTTGGTTAGGTTGGTCTTGAACTCCTCACCTCGTGATCCGCCTGCCCCAGCCTCCCAAAATGCTGGGATTACAGGCATGTATCTGGGATTGCTCCTCCTGGGCTGGTCAGTTCCCCAGAGTAGACAGCCTTCTTAGGATTTGCCTATTAAACATTAAAAATGAAAGAGGAATGCAAGTCCTGTATCCAGCACTGTATATACCTAAATTCACTTAATTTTGTTTCCAGTGTGCTTCTCATGAACTCTAGAATGCCTGAGGATGCCCTAGTCCAGGGTCTAGTAATACTTTGTCCAGAAATAAACCTCTAGTCTTCTATGGGAGTAAGGTGGTAGAGTTACTTAGAGTCGTTTCTCAAATAGCTTTCATGTAGTCTGCTTTAATTTATTTCATTCTTCATTTCCAATTTCAGGGCCCTTGTTTCAGTGCCTTTTGAGAATTTTGCAGAGTAAACTGGGTTTTTCTGGTGTGCTACGTCACATTCATTCACCTGTTTTCCAGCTGCTGACGTTTTATTGCTGTTTTCTCCTGTCCGCATTTTTCCAATTTTTTTATCATTTTACTATAGATTTAGTAGTTTTGGAAGGGAGTAAAATTAGATGAGGGTATTTAACCCACTATATTAACTACTTCATTTTTTAAACGTTTTTTTTCCTTTGGCAGACAACCATTACCAGTGTGAAATAATCTTATTGAAGAATGATTCTTATGCTGGGTATGGTGGCTTATACCTGTAATCTCAGCACTTTTGGGAGGCCAGGGTAGGAAGATGGCTTGAGCTTAGGAATTTGGGACCAGCCTGGGCAACACAGTGAGATCTCATCTCTACTAAAAGTAAAAAAAAAAAAAAAAAAAAAAAAAAAAAAATTAGGCATGGTGGCATGTGCTTGTAGTCTCAGCCATTTGGAAGCTGAGGTGGGAGGATCACTTGAGCCCAGGAGGTTGAGGCTATAGTGAGCCATGATTGTACCACTGCTCCTGCCTGGGCAAAATTCATTTTGAGACTCTATCTCAAAACAAAAAAACACCTCTTAGGAACCATGTGCTTTTCACATAATTTAAAATTAAATCTACATAGATGTAATTTCAAATTGCAAACTATAACCTGTTTAATGCCTGACAAACAGCACAGCTTCATTTAATTCACAATTTGTCATTTGTGAAAGCTTTTAGGGACCTGGCTTAAGTTGTCCTTTTTAGTTGTTGGTCTTTTTACAAATTATGTATTATAAAAGACTTGCCTAGAAAAAATGGAACTAATTTGGCTAAGGTACATTTGTTTTTATTTGATATGTTAACTTTTATGAATTAATGCAGTTTACCTTGAAGCATTTAGGTTTATTTTAGCCATTAAGAGAAATAGGTTTCCTTGGGTTCACAAAGTAGTGAATAAACAAATTGGGTTCAGCAGGGCCCTCTGGGGCTGCTCCTGAACTGTGCATGAAGTCATGGAGATTACTGTTTTTAAGAGCCAAGTGAGTTAAGGACTAAAAGAAGCCCCCTATGATTCTGAGAACTTGGGGGTGTGGGCTGGATGAGAGGGGATGCAGTGCCTATTGACAGCTTCTCCCGCCCCGCCCCCGCTTCCCCCGCCAGTAATTCTACGCTGAGTTAAGACTTAACCAGTTCCAGTTTTGGGCTAATGGAAAATTGTCATCTTGTTGGGGGTGATGGTGCCCAAGGTTGTTAATCATTCTTCCCCATGAGGTAGAGTGAGAACTTCAGTAAAGCCTCTCCTCTAAAAGCCCACTATTTTAAGGTACCTTGGAATTACTCTACCATCTCCTTACCCCCATCAATCCTAATTTGAGTTGACTGAGGTGTTTTATCATTAAACATTAGTTTTACTGATAATTTAAAAGGAAACCTTAACTTCCATACCAAATAGCTACAGTAAACTCAGTAAGAGCTCTGTACAAAGTCGCTATTAAAATGTTTTCATCTTGCTACCAGGATATGGATGTGAAATACTAATAAATATTACACAACCTGGATTTGTTACAATGGGGATGACAACACTTTAACTCACAAAGACTAGCTTGGTCCTACTATTTATGAATAATGCATGCAGTCAGTAACATTGGAAGGGATCGAGCATTCTAAACTTAGAATTCAGAGATGAGAAATGGTGCCAGTAATTTAGAAGTATTTCAGGTCTCATAATGCTAAAACAGGGTGTAAGTATGCCCTAAAATTATAGAGAACTCAGTCGGGCTTGAGGAGAACAGCCTCACTTAATTGTAGTTTTCCTGTTGGTGTAAGGTGCTAGCGTTTCTTCATGTGGGAGGAGACTGAAATTCTGAAGGTTGTGCTACTGGTTAGTACAATTAGTCTGTGACCTTGGGAAACTAATGACTTTTTGGGGCCTCAGCGATCTTCATGTTAAGGAATATTTTACCCAGGAATTGCTTCATTTTCAATTTTTGCTTAGGGCGCTCTTAGGAAAAAGGACACTTAACGCTGCACAGAAAGTAAACAATAGAGCTGAGAGGAATCCGAAGGACATTAATCTTAAAATAACCTTCCTGGAGCCAACTTACTTCCCTCTTTAAATTGCCAAACGGGCCCCGTCCTCCTGCTGGCCTAACCCGCAGTGGCCCAGGCCGCCCACCGGGTGTCCGCTGCCTGAACCCGTCGCAAGCCGGCTCCCTTCCTGGTCGAAACCCTCACTGAAAGATCGCCCACCAACACGCTCTAGGAAATAATCTGTCAACGTCAGAGACGCTCAGAACCCTCTTCCCCACGCCCGGTGGTCCTCGCCCAGAGCGCACTTGTCCCCAGACCCCAGAATCCGGGAACCGAACAAAACTCCCCGGCGGCGGCACTCACGCACTTTCCTGCACGCCGGAACAGTAAGAGCTTCCAGCACTTCGACCCTCAGTCCGTCGACGGCGAAGCGGGGCGGGGTTGGGGGAGGTGGGGCAAGCGGGGAGAAGGGGGCGGGGCGCCGGCCGGAAGGGCCCCAGCGCGGCTGCGCACTTTTGATGGCGCCCCCCAGGTGGGCGGGGCCTGTCGTCCGGACAACCCAGGCGCTTTCGTCCACGCAAGCTGAGTTCAGACTTTGCTGACTACGGCGGTGGAGCTTGACTTCTAATGGTGAGCAGAGCAAATGAAGCAGACAGGTGGAGGAGCGACCGTTGATTCTGCTTCACCGGTGTTAAATGATGCAATAAGAGCCGGTCGTATATTACAGCGGAGTGGGTTGGTTTGGGAAAGAACTCAAACCCTGGGGTGGGTTGGCCCTCTTCTCAGCAATGGCTTCCCTTACCTGGATCGGGCGGAAAGGTAGGAGTCCCAAACCAGTTTCTGCAAACGGGAGATAGTCAAAGCTGTCACAAAGCTATATCCTAATCTCTAATGTTGCTAAGCCTGAAAATGGGTCCCAACCTAGTAACTTCCAGTAATGATAGACGTTTCCACTAAATTCTCTCTTATTGCAACTTGGCGGAAATGTTTTAGTACCTCTCTAGCAGTTAATTAAAAGCTGATGCAATTTACTCTGATTTGAAAAGATGTTTTATGTTGTCTTTTGTGGGAATATGAATTGTTTTGTGATTCAAGTACTCACCCTACATTAGTTAAATATGATAAAGCTTCTCCTTTTGTTTTTCTGGACTCCTCAACTGCCGTATTTTCACCAAGGAGACAGGCCAGCATATAGCTATGAGAGTATCTGTTCTGATTTTCTTTCTTTCATTCTCTTTCTTTCTTCCTTTCTTTCTTTTCTTTCTTTCCTTTGTTTTTGTTTTTTGTTTGATGAAGTCTCGCTCTGTCGCCAAAGCTGGAGTGCAAGGGCGTGATCTCCGCTCACTGCAACCTCTGCCTCCCAGGTGCAAGCAATTCTCTGCCGCAGCCTCCTGAGTAGCTGAGATTACAGGCGCCTGCCGCCATGGCCAGCTAATTTTTTTAAATGTTATTTTTAGTAAAGATGGGGTTTCACCATCTTGGCCAGGGCGGGGTCTTGAATTCCTGACCTCGGGATCCACCTGCCTTGGCCTCCCAAAGTGCTGGAATTATCAGGCGTGAGCCACCGCGCCCGACCTCCGATTTTCTTCAGTGTGGTTTCCATCAGGACATTTTCTATTATTAAAACCAGAGGAAGTGGAGAATGTAATTCCTTAATTAAATTCATTAATTAAGGGAAAATATGGAGTGCATTCTTTGTACTTGGCACTGGGCTAGACGCCAAGGATGCCAAGAATATGATGACAACCCTGCTTATGGGATACAGATGAAACTAATTAATTACAATACAGCTTTACAACTGTGACAACTGAAGTATCTAAAATGGGGTAACACAAAGCTGGAAATGATAAAATTTCAGTGAGGGAAACAAGGGAAGGAAAGAGTGGTGCTTTTCAACCTGTTCTAAAGTATAAATATGAGTTTTCCACAAATGGTGGGAAGAAATAGGGAGTGGAGAGCATTCCTGGCAGAATGCAAATGGATCTTAAGCCAATTTACAATTGCTAATAAATTGGGAGAACAGTAAGCACTTATTTGTTACTTTCCAATTTGTTACCTAAGTTTCTTCTTAGATCCTTCTCCCAATGTTTCCCAAAGTTTGGCCCAGAGTACTTGTTAAAAATGCAGATTCCAAGAATCCACTCAACTCCAGATCTACTGTATTAGTTTCCTAAGTAAGGAATTGCCAAAAACTGAGTGGTTTAAAGAAAAGAAATTTACTGCCTCACAGTTATGGAGACTAGAAGTCCCAGATCTTAGTGTCAGCAGGTCTGTGATACCTCTCAAGGCCTTAGGGAGAATATGTTCAGACTTCTTTCCTGGCTTTTCGTAGTTCCTTGGTTTGTGGCGACAAAACTTCATTCTTCACATGGCATTCTCCCTCTGAGAATATATGTCCAAGTGTCCTTTATTATTATTATTATATAAAGACACAAATCATTTTGGATTAGGGACCCACCCTATTCAGTATGGCCTCATCTTAATTTATTCAGTATGGCTTTATTTTAATTTAACTAATAAAATCAGCAATGACCCTCTCTGCAATTAGGTCAAATTCTGAAGTACTGGGGATCAGGATTTCAACCTATGAATTTCTCTTTCTGTTTTGAGACTGTGTCGCTTTGTCACCCAGGCTGGAGTGCAGTGGTACCATCATGGCTTACTGCAGCCTCAGCCTCTCTGGTTCAAGCAATTTTCCGAACTCAGCCTCCTGAATAGCTGGGAGTACAAGGCACACACCACCACATCCAGCTAATTAAAAAGATTTTTTTAGAGACAGGGTCTTGCTTTGTTGCCCAGGCTGGTCTCAAACGCTTGGGCTCAAATGATTCTCCCACATTGACTACTCAAAATGCTGGGATTATAGGAGTAAGCCAGTGCACCCAGCCAACATATGATTTTTTTCTTTTTCTTTTTCTTTTTGAGACAGAGTTTTGCTCTGTCACTCAGGCTGAAGTGCAATGGCGCTATCTCGGCTCACTGCAACCTCCGCCTCCTGGGTTCAAGCGATTCTCCTGGCTCATCATCCTGAGTAGCTGGGATTACAGGTGCATGCCACCACACACAGCTAATTTTCGTATTTTTAGTAGTTAGCCAGGCTAGTCTTGAACTTCTGACCTCAGGTGATCCACCCGCCTTGGTTTCCCAAAGTACTGGGATTACAGGTGTAAGCCACCGTGCCCAGTCAACATATGATTTTTTTTTTTAGGGATACAATTCAACCCGTAACATGTTCTGAACCATAGTGTAGGAAGAGAAGTGAGTGTGTACACGTTTAGTCCAGAAATAGCATTTCTAACAAGCTTCCCATATGATTCTTATGCCCTTTGAACTTTGAGAACGACTTCACTACATAGTGGCCCTTATGACATATAAGAGGAATGAGGGTATGTACTTACCCCAAACCTGATTTATATTAAAAGTGCAAGTGAGAAGTGACAATTTGCCCATCTTTAAAATATGGCTACCTGAGAACCAGAGCAATGCTGTTTGCATATTCAGCTGTTTAGTACTTATTTCATGATGGAAATATGTTAACTATTAAGTAATAGAAAACATGATGAAATAGAATCTATTCGTAAAAATTGTATGGCAACGAAGTCTTTACTGCCTCCAGTGCCTTTAAGGCCGTTTTGCGTGCGTAAAATAACAGATACCCTTTCTATAAAAATCAAATAACTTTACAGAAAAGTTTTTCTTTGTGAGATGATTCCCACACTTGCAAATTTGATATTAGTGCAACTGATTGGTCAGTGATTTATTGTTGTTTGAACCTTTAAGTCAGTGCCTTCTTTACTAGTACTCTGTTTAGTAACAGGGCATTTTATTAAACATGGATCATTGATTGTCCTAAGAAATAGTGTAAAATCTACATATAAAAATGCTTCAGTAGGTGAGCTTAGTTTTCCTATACTTATTTGTAGTTTTGTCTGAATTCTTTTTAAAAAAAGCTTTCTATTTTGGGATATTTGTAGATTTGCAAGAAAAATTACAAAGATGGTACAGAGAGTTCCCTTCTGCCCTTTACCAAGCTTCTTCTAAGTTCAACACCTTACATAATCATGATAGTTTTGTTAAAAGTATCAGAATTCTCTTTAAAATTGATACATTCTTTTGTTTTCCAACTTTTAGGGTCCCAAACCAAAAAAGGTATGTAGAAATTTTTTTCAAAATAGGTAGTTGTGTAATCACTTACAGTGTATGAATAGAATAGTTACAGAATTATAAAATATTTTTATAGTTTTAGTTTATAGACTTTACTAAGCTTACTTTTTAGACATTAATGCTGTTTAAATCATGGAATAATCCTTTACAATAATACGACAAATTTCAAATTTGACATGAGAGTTGTGATTTCAGAAATACTTTTAAAAATAGCTTTTAATGTTTACTTGTGTCCAGATTTGAGACTTTTTGCTACTTGACTGCTCTAGAAAATGTTGGCTGAAGCACCCCTTTTTCTTCACTCCAGACATATACATAAAATTTTCATTATCAAATGTGCTGTAGCTTTAAAGTGAAATCTAAGGTAATACGACTTTAAATGGGTTGCATGGTAACACAGATTTGGTATTTTTTTGGTACTGTTTAGAAATTTGAGTTCAATAAATGATGTAGTGTTCTATATGTCCAGAATGCCTTTTTCTCTCTTCTTTACTTTGTAGATTTATACGTCAAATTAGAGATTATAATCTATTGGCTGGCAGGCCACGTTTACCCTGCAGATGTAATTTGTTTGACCTTAGAAGTGTTTTTTTGTTTTTTTTTTTAAATTAGTTGCCAACCGATTTTCATGCAAAAATCTGATTTCCATCTATTCTTTAAAAATTGGAAACATTTTTTATTGAAATTGAAAACACTGGGCCTAAATAGTCCTATAAGGCAACAAGTGGCTGGGCTGAGTAACAGCTACTCCTTTTAGGAATGCATGAAATCCTCGATTTGCCATAGTCTTGACCATAACCAAACGTCTTACTTTATTTACCTGCTTGGTCCCAACAGGAATTTGGGTGTGGAATGCCTGCTTTAAGGCATATCTCAAATGTCACTCCTCTGTAAATTTTCCCATTGTTTTCTGTTACAGAATCAATTATACTCTGTGTTTTCTTATTTTTTTGTTATGTGTTTTCAAGACAGGATCTCACTCTTTCACCCAGGCTGGAGTGCAGTGGTGCAGTCTTGGCTTACTGCAACCTCCACTTCCTGGATTCAAGGAATTCTCCCACCTCAGCCTCTTGAGTAGCTGGGATTACAGGCACATGCCACCATACCTAAATATTTTTATGTTTTGGTAGACATAGGGTTTCACCTTGTTGTCTAGGCTGGTCTTAAACTCCTGGCTTTAAGTGATCCTCCTGTCTCAACCTCCCAGAATGTTAGGATTACAGGCGTGAGCCACCACGCCTGGCTTATACTCTATGTTTTCATAGCACCTGCATTCATACATACCTCAGTT